TTATATTTAATTTTCAGTTTCACAGTTTAACCGTAAATCAACGCAAGACAAACAATACACACATCAAATAAAAATAAGTGAATTAGTTTACCAATTATAGTATATTATAATGCGTTTAAAGCAGTAAAGTCAAACAATCAGTTAAACATGATAAATAATAATAAATAACCAATTATGACTTCATTAGTAACCTGTAATTAATTCTCGAAATTTTCTAAATTACACAAAATACCGTATTATTGATAATTAAACTTTAATTTCATAATAGGGAATAAGGTGAAAGATTTTTACTCGAATCGGTATCCAAAATACTGAAATTTTTACTGTTCCCACTGGCGGTCCCCAAGTTTCCTGAATTTTTTTGCGAAGATTAAAACACGCTTAATGTACATAGAAATACCCCAAAAAATCCAAAATCAATATTAAAAACATTTTTCGGCCAATTTCAGAATCCCGACACGGCGGCATCGTCGTGCTCCGGTGACAGCACCACCATCCGTGGCAGCAGTTTGCCTCAGTCTGGCCAATTTTTGCTGGTTTCAGCCGGTTTTATCCAATCCTTGCGAGAAAACACATTAGGGGGCCTCGGTTAACTGAAAAAAATCGAAAACTAAAAACTTACCAGCGACGGAATTTTTCGATGCGACAGCTCTATCGGCTCACCTTCGCAACTGAGCATTTTTCTTTGGTAAACCTGTAGAAAATAGAACGGTGAACACAATAGTGAAAAATTCTTACGAAACGGGAAATAGGAAGGGACTCATTGGATGCGAATTTTGGTTTTTTTTCACGGCGACGCTGTCGGACTTTACTCACGTTTTTCGGCTCATCCACCGTTCCTTTTGCTCCGATTTAGCCATGAGAGTATTCAAAATTAAATTCTGAACGAATAGAAATTTTTTTACCTTTTTTGGCGGTCAGTGATGGCTTCGACACGGTGACGGGCGATGGTCGGCTCCCTTCTCCGACGACTAATTCTTCTTCTTCGGCGGGGGGCTGGCGGCTAGGATTTGGGTTTGGTGTGAAGTGAGATATTTATATCCGTCTTCTTTAAATCTGGATCGTTTATCGCGTTTGATCTCGACCGTCTGATCACATTTAAAAAGAAAATGAATCTGGACCGTACGATCACATCTAAAGAGAAAATGAATATGCATTGTTCGTCTCGTTTAATCGCGACTGTCCGATCGTGCATAAGGAAAGAACAAATCCAGACTGTCCACGCGCGCGATAACGCATCCGGTCCATCCGATTACAGGCACGTGGATTGTCAGTGTGGCCTCTTGCATGGCACCGAGTCAGCGTGTCTTGCCACACGGTACGCTCCAGTTCGTCGGGGCTACTGACTGGGCGGTCCTACGTTGTGTAATTTTTTTTAATTGTATTTTAATCCTCAATTTTCGATTTTTCTTTCTAAAATACTTCCAAAACCTAAAATTTTAATTATTTTTAATTTCATCATCTATTTTTTTTTAAATTTACATTAAATAAAAATTTAAAATTTTAAAAATTATATTTTTATATATTTATTTTATTTTTTAATTTTTAAAATTAATTTTGAACCAAATTTTGGGATCGAGTATTACAAATTAATTATGAACTATCTAATTTTTTATGTTATCACATAAAACCATTATAATCACCATGTAATCAGGCTGCTAAATATCATAATTTATAACTTGGGCTGCATTAAGCCCATCATTTCCAAAAAGAAAAAATTACTTACCAAAATTTTCAGCCCACTAAAAGCCTTTTAGTAACTGAAAAAGTGATT